AAAGAAAAAAAAAAACCACCTCTGACACTTTTCTGACAGGATAAACTGAGGGTCTGAAAACACTGATCAGAACAAGGCAGAGGTACTAACTTAGAGCTACTAAAATACGACTGCAAATGAAGCGGAGAAAGAAACAGAGTAAGAAAAATAATTTCAAACTGATGTAAAACCATTTGATGAGACCCCCAAAGTTAACACAGGTCTAAAAAGAAAAGGAAAAGACCGCACAAAACATTGTTTTTAAAGGAGATGGCTGAAGCTGTCTCGACTTTCTTAAGGTTGCATTATCTATGCCAATTAAAATTTTGCTTCTGAAAAAGAGTTAAGGCACTTCCTCTAGAGTTACTAAAAAAAGCAAATGAAAGCCTTGGCTTCGCAGAGGTGAGTGATAGTGAGCCGTTTGTTCTTGACCTCTGGATCACCCTACAGATCAAATTCTTGGACATAGGAAAAACCCACTAGTATTCATTAAAAGCAACTGGGAGGCCAGCTATGTGCTTCTGTTCTTGAGACCTGAACAAGCTACAACTTGACAAACGTGCAGGATATTGCTGAACAATGCTGCTGTTCCTGTCAGGAGGGAAGAGCTTTACTCCCAGCTCCATTCAGGATGAATTGATTTTCATCACAATGATGCAAATCACAGATTTCAGTCATTATTTAAATAATCGATTGTCATCTCTTACCTTTGTGGTGCTTTTCAGTTATTCCCATAAAGTTGATTCCGTTAACCATTAACATGCATTGATTTATATTGAATTAGCTTTTATACTACACATTTTTCCCTCAAAAAGATACATCTAGCTACAGTTATCTAAACAAATATATAGCCTGAAAGTCCCAGATATTTAGCTTTACTTTTCTTTCTGCTAGATATGGGTGACATTTGCTTATATATTTTCGTAGCTAAAAATTACGTAAAGTATTGCTTTATTAGAGAGATTATTTTATACTTACAGCTTTTGACATTTTTTGACATTTTTATGCATAACAGAATTTAAAATCCATAAATAAGCCTATTGCCTCAGTATTCATAAAATTAACTGCTATAAATTTCTCTGCACACAAAATAAACTTCATCGGAATACTTTTTAACTATTTTTCTCTTTCAAACAATAAAATAATAAAAAAAAAGCTACCTGTAGAGCTGATCAACAGAACAAAATAAAACAGCGGAAAACATTCTCCCTGAACAATTGTTTCTGTCAAAATGTGGTTTAAACAAATTCTGGCTCCAGTTAACTGCAGTTCTCTGGTGGTTTGAATGCTTTTAAAGCTTCATTAGAAAACAGACATTGTGAGAATATTTGTATCCAAATGTCTACAGCATACTATAGTGAATTCAGTGCTTAGCATGGATGAACAATTTCAAATATAATCTAAAAAACTCAGACATATTTTAAAATAACATTTGAATTTAAATAAAACTTATTCACTTATGCATATTCAGCACCCGAAGCTGCAGTAAAAACAGACTGTCTCTCCTTACTCTTTCACAGATACATCAGTATGACTTGTGCTCACACTTACTTCACAAAGGCAATTTTAAAATTTAAATTTTCATATATCCATCACTGTTTGTATTTTTCTGTCCTGTTTAATAAGTAGCCTCAATCTCAAATTTCCCAAGAAGAAAATATTTGCGTTGGAATCTTTAAGAGTTTTGACTGCATAAACTATCAATTATTTCCCCACCAAACAAGGCAGGTTCATAGCACAAAGTCAGAAGGAAGAGAAAGGAGGGGAATGTTTTTGTGGATTGTTATCTATAGACCAAATGGAAAATCTTCAGCCATTTTGCTCCTTCAAGGTACATCAAAGAATCTCCTATTTAAGGTGTGAAAATGTCAGTTACATTCTTCACCTCTGAAAATGAACAGAGCTCTGAATGCGATTTATGTCCCACCCTGGCACTTTTCTCTTTTAGGGGCTGATACTCTTCTTTTCAACTTCCTTCCAGCTAATGCCATTAAATACTCTCAGAACCATAGGGCTAAATTCAAATTTTCTGCTCCTTAGAGGCTGTTGTTATGCACCACTGCACATTCCAATTGCAAATACACATGAAAGCTCCCGTGTATTGTAAGTTATTTTTTACACACAAATTCTGCTAAATTGTAAGTTAGGAGGCACTACTTGAATTCTCTGAGGTCTTTAGAAAGCTTTCAGATGTACCACGAGTAATAACATGTAATGAATATGGACTGATATTTCTTTTCTGTAGTTACACTGAGTTGGCAATTTACATTTTCTAGATAGATTACTTATAGCCAGCCTTCCCAGTACTCTGGCAATTACTTCTTAGAAACCCCTGACAGGCTGAAACCTCCAGAATCACATCTGTTATTCTTGGTTTGATCCCTCTTTTTTAAATTAAAACCAGTAGCTTTATCAGCAAATGAGAATTTTTTTTTTTTCCCCTCTGGAAATACTTACAAAACTGCACATAAATTGAACACGCCAACTTATCTCGTTTTAGGGTTGGTGCATCTTCTGGGTTAATGACCAGTGTTCCATTTCTGTGACAGAACTAATTGAGGTAAGGAGCCCATAAATACACACAAACCCCCACAAATTCTCTTCCTTTGGGGTAGTCTGAAGATGTATAGAAGTAGGGAGAGATGTGATTGGAGGGGAAAGAGAATAAAATTTAAGAAGTGCTAACAGGCTTGTCTGATCATTCTATCTCAGTTTCCAGGCACAGAATAGAATTAGAGCAGGTTTTTCTAATACCTGATGTGACTTTTTCCTTCCTCTCAAACACCAGCTAAAAATGCAAAAATCTGGTTGAATTTTCACATTTTCTAGGAACCGTCATTATTTAAAAAAAAAAAAAAAGAAAAAAGAAAAAAAGGAGAGAGAATGTATAGACAATACTACATCTTTATGCTCTGAACACAAACTGGCTGATTGATCTAAACAGCTCTGATGAAAACAGTAGCCTCAATTCCACACCAACAGTTGCTCAAAACATGCTTTGACAACAGTTTTTCACAGCTGAACACAAACGAAACATCCTTCGAGAGAGAAATCCGCACTTGGTTGGAGCTCAGTGTGCATTTCCAGCAATCTAGCTGCATTTGTCATGCATCACTAATCAGAAAAATCCAGTTATCAATGGATTATAGGAAAGAATAATTCAGGTTTGTCTTCCATGACTAGGTCAGAATGCATATGCCATTCACTTTTTACGGCTAAAACAACTCAGTACCTTGATGCGATGTCCCTTAATATCTCAGAACAAACATTCTAAATCCATGTGTACACCTGCAAATTGAAAGAACTTCTAAATGCAGCTGGAGGCAAAAGGGTGACAGATTTCCATTGTAGATTTGGGAAGCATAAGAGGACAAAAAGGAGCACTACATATTGCCTGTGCATATAAATGTAAATGTAAAGGCATGTCACACAGTTCTCCATTTCAGAATACCAAACTCTCTCTTCCCCAGACGGGGATTCTGCGTTCTCCAGATCTCTCCAGCAGTGCTGTAAGCAAGCTGAGTTCAGGTAAATCTGACCCAAATAAATTTTAAAAGATGCCTACACTTCCTAATCACTGGATGGCTGCAGAAGCCCTCTGAGTCTGAGACATACATACAAAAGAGGCTGAACACTCTTAATCTTAGCACCTAACCCTCCTCAGCTCCTTACCTTGCAGCAAGCCTCAAATCCACCTCACTCTACCCAAGGCCTTATGTGCCCTGCCTTCTGTGCTGATATTACCAAAAAAAAAAAAAAAATTACTTCAAAATGTCTTGAGGAGATGATTCTTAACCTGAATTAAGATCATCTTTCCCAATTTGCTGATAATGCAGGATTTAGAGCATTACTTTTTTTTTTTTTAGCTAACCAGTGTCAGGCTGATTTAAACTGCTAGCTAAAGGCTACAACTTAAATTAAAAAATTAGTAGCTCAAGTCAAGAATGTGAGACACAGAGCTAGATCAGTTTTCTAGCCAGCACTAATGCACACAATATGACCAGAAAAAAGCACTGTCAGAAGCATCAATGTGTGTGGTGTTACATGAATCTGCAGGCCAAGACAACAGAGATGAGATGAAGGGGAAAATTTCTAATATATGTATAGGTTTGCCCCATTTCTTGGTTCAACTCCTGTCATTCCTCCTTCCTCTCCTGCTTTCACCTTTAAAGCAAGGCTGACATCAAAAATAAGTTATAAGCTTATAATAAACCCTTCTTATAGGTGTGCATAAATTAGCATCTCAGTACTTCAGCTGACAATTGAGAATGCCAAGCAGCGGAATGATTATCACCATCACTCAAGTTCAGGTTTCTGGTAAAGCCTGAAAGGACTGTGGCTGTTGTTAGCATGAGAATTTTAAACAAGTGCTACCCAAGACTACACAGAAAGATGTCAGGCATCACAGTTAAATGGCATGTAGAAAACACAAGGAAGAATCTCCTTAGTACAAAATGGGACAGCAATTTTTTCCTGCGTGACATGCTTGACACATGGATGGAATGACACCAAAACTGGCTTGAAATTTTGCTATCACAACTTTACAAGGAAAAGAAAACAATGCCTGGAACTGATCAAAAAATAGGGCTTAAAAGCACCTGCTGCCTTGTACCTTGTGCTGTGTGGGAGTTAAATTCTACCACACTAATCTATTAGCATAGTAGACATAAATACCCCAACAGCACAGAATATAATGGAGCTTCCCTAATACATACTCAGATGCCACTGCAGTTAAATCCACGAGCACAGGGTGGGCATTGAGTCCATTCAGCAGGTAGGAATAGTCACAGTTCCTTTTGTCTTATTTCACACACATGGCTAAATAGAGATTATTTATACACACACACACAAAAAAAAAAAAAAGGAGAAAAAAAAAGAAACTATTTCAGGGTGGTTTACAGCCAAGTTTGATACTGTTCTGCAGGGCAATGCAACAAAGCAGCTTCATGCATGTTCAACAGGAACAATTCCTGCTGTGGTTCAAGTAATAAACAGCAAAGAAAGTTTAAATTGAGACTTACCATGGGGCACCATATATTCGGAATCCTTTAACTGTTACCTCTGAATCTTGTAAGTAAATACTATTTGTCAGGAGTGACTGAACATTGTCAAAGTCCTCTGGTTTCAATTTGGACACAGAGGGAAAGCGGTAGTAATCTTGTTTAACAAGGTCTGCCATGAATTCCTTATCAAATGTCAGTTCATGATTCCCAGCAATCACTATTTTATATTCATATGGTAGGTTTCCTGAAATAACAAAAAAGAGGACTTAATTAGCACATTTTCCTCCCACACCCAGCAATGCCAGCACAATAAGTAGACAGCCAGCAGTGACAGAACCAAACACCCGAGGTCTGTGTGCACCTCCATGTCGAGCACAAGGCTTTAAAGCTGCTTCTCCTCCACTCAATGGAACTGTGTTAAAACGTAAAGGAACGTCACACGAAGCAATGTCATAATAAAGGGCCTGCACCGCAGAGTTAAACAAAACAAGCTGGTAGGCAACAAACCAGCTCCAACGGTGGCGTAAACCACCACTGCTGAATGAAGATTCGCCTAAAATCTGACGTGGGACTGGGTCAGGGTCAGCAGCCCCCAGTCCCTGTCCCCAGGAGTGCCCTGCAGTGAGATAGGTGGCTGTCCCAGTGGGCAGGTGACCAGAGCCCGCAGGATACCTCACCAGTGTGTCCTGAAGGTACTGAATTAGACTGCTGGTGCTGTTGTTTTTTTAGAGTATGCTGTTATTTGGATTAATTTGTGTCCCAGTGGCATTTATTCCACACCTAGTCTGTCCTCCAAAGCATCAATTCATTTCCAATGTACTTTCACGTTATTATTATTGCTATTATGTTAAAGCAGCATCTCGTTTCTGTAAGACGTACACGAGTAGAAGAAACCATAAAACAGCCAAATACAACACAGCAGGAAAAAGGAAATGTGGTTAATTCATTTACCATGAGAGTCAGAGGTAAAGAATGCAGGTTTGCTCACCTCAGTGCAGGGCAACTGATACCACTGTTTGGAAGGAGGCTCATGCCCAGAGAGCCAGATTGTTGGAGTTCAGAAACAGATTTTCAAGCACTTGGTACCAGCAATCACTGCCAGGTTTTCCAAATAAACATACTGGCTGCTGAGCTCCCTTAAAAATATAGTCCCATACTGTGATGTCTTCACAGAAGTTAGGTTCTTTTACAAAATCTGTCCCATTATGACTTGCCAAAAATCGCACCTAAGTTTGCATCAAAGCTAACTTCTACTGCCTTCACCATAAGCTTGATTTCCCAGTCTCATACCAAATCAGTGATTTTGGTGTTTACTCCTAATAATCATTTAGAAAAGGTTGGGTTTGTTGTGCTGGTGTTTTGAGGGGTTTGTCTTGGGTTTTTTCCCATAAAGGCAGCAAAATATCTGTGGAAATCTATGGGTCCATCTTCCACCTTGGGGACTCACAACATCTGTCCCAAGGAAGACAAAATCAGATGTCATACATTTCTTGTGCATACAGTTCTCTTGAATAGAAGAGGCCTTGCTAGTTTAAAAACTTGCCTTTTAACTTTTAAAACTGTTTGGGTTTTTTTAAAGTAAGTTTCAAAGTAAAGCTGCAAGTATATATAACAAGATTAACCTTCCCATAAATAAGACTCACAGGGAACCAGCCAAAACCCTCTGCTTTTCAATATTTACAGCACAGAAACAGGAATTACACAAGGTATGTATACAAATATCATTTTAGCAAAATTAGTTAATTCTGGATAGAAAACCAAAAAGATACAAATCCCCTGAAAGAACCATGCAGACTTTTTCACAGACACCTCACGTCTGAACAAAATACAGATTGTACATACACTTAACTCTCTGCAGTGCTGCTTTAGAATAAAATCTGGGGAGATGCAATAAATGCTCCTCTACAGGTTTTGCCTCACTCTTTTCCCTCTTCCCTCCTCTTCCCCATCTGTGCTACGTGCAGCTCTGCAATTCATTTCTATTTAAAAACTCGATGTGGCAGGTACCTACAATTCCTGCTCTCTGTGACTCCTGGGCACAAGATAGAATTGCTATTTTCTTCTCTCCCAGGAAACATAAAAGATACCACCAGCATGAAATTTGATACACTTGTCATAACTATCAATCTCCCCAAACAAACTAGATGTGATAATATTATCAGAGAAGTAGGATGGAGCAGTTAAATTCAGGTATCTGCCAAGTTATCAACATTTGCCTGTTTTAGCAGAGAAAACTTTTCATCTTACTGGATACATGTCCGAGCTTTACACTTCCTCTCATTTATTTTGATAGACTTGAAAACCAGCACATTTTGCTGATATTATGTCCAATTAAGCCTGGAACATTTTTGCTTGAAGTCAACGGTTTTTTTTTTCTCTTGACATTTAAAAATAAGGGCTTACTTTGAAGACACACAGGGCACACAAAAACAAACTAATGGTGGCATCAGTAATTATTAAAACGTGTAAGTGTAACATTGTAGATGTCATTTAAGCACCTGAAATCAGTAGGGAAACCAAACAGTATTTCTTTGCTCTGGCTTTCTGGTGCTGGCTCAGGAGCTATCAAGGAGCAACACCACTCACCAAAAGGCAAACACACCAAAAGCCAGGCCCATGCAAAGGAAGGGCAGCAGCAAGAGGAAATCTCATCCATTTCTTCCCTCTACCCCGAGGAAAGACTATATAGCACTAATCACAGTAATAAATTACCTGCAATAAGATTAGCTCATTTATTCATCACATTCATGTTCTTCCTTCTTGAGACGTGTTGTGACAGTGCACAACATCCATTCTCTCTAATACTATTTATGAAATATTTTGGTGTGTTTTCTTTTGGCAGATCTGCCCTTTGTCTATAACCTGTTGACCTTGTGTTTAACATGGAAGCATAAAGAGTCATATTCAAAAATCTCCTACTCCATGGTAATTTAGTTTCATCTTGACCAGATTAATCTCTGCATATCTACATCAGTGTTGCCTGTACAGAACAACACACAGGTTGAAGGGTATTTCCTCATTTTCCTTCACTAAGTCTTTGTTAGCTACATTTGGGTTTTATTAGCCTAATTTCCTAACTATCAAAGCTTCCATCATGCATCGGTAATATAATTCATTCTAATTTTTACTGCGAAGACTCCTTTTCCAAACTATAAAAACTTTGATTTGTTTGCTGGGACAAGCACTTCAGAAAACCCAAATAATAATAACTGAGTTTATTTAAAATGCTTAAATGCTTAACAGGTGAGATCAAAAGGCTAAAATTACAACTACTAAAAATGATCAGGGCACTAAGTCTGTGAAGTAGAGTTACCTGTACTAGAGTATTTGAACCCCAGTATATTTATGTGTATATACACACACAGGGTGTGTATGTGTGCTTCTTCAAAATGTATCTATCATTTTGGGTAAGATGAGCAACATCTTCCCCAACATCTGCCCTCAGCAGCACAAGCAAGGGCACAATGCAACCATTGATCAAGAAAATACTGCAATTAGCCAAGTTGTTCTCTTCTGGAAGCCAAAAAGGTCAATATTGCTCCTCCTCAAATAAAGGCAAAGATAGTTAACTGCGAACAGTAAAAAAGGAATTGTTTACAGTAAATATATTAATCTGGGAGTCTCAGAAAATTTCTGTGACTTCTTGTCTAACGAGTCAACCCTCAAGCTACAGTCCCAAGTACCTTTGCCCCCAAGTGTTCACCTTTACTCTTTGTCAACACAAGGATTTGGTGGCCACAGAATAGAGTGGATCAGAAAACTGATCCAGATGAAAACCAATGTAGCAAAAAAAGGAAAGGGTGTCTGTGAATGCTGGTAAGGTAGGAGTTCTATTGCTGGCTGCAGCCACTTACACTACTCAAAGTGTCAGCTGAACAACAGACTGACTTTAAATATATCTATTACATGGGATGAGGGGGGAAGCTTGGGGGGCTGTGGGGTTTTTTTAACCTATATAAGTAGGTGATTCAGTGGGGGTTTTTTTAAAGTTCACCTTAAGTGCTTGGATCCTAGGAGTCCTTAATCTGTTGGACAGCCATTCCCATTTTAAAGGCATGCTTCATATGAGTACAATTTAGTCACACAACCCAAGTTCTGTGGAGCTGCCAGACATGAAAAGGAGTCTGACTGGCAGCGAACGTTAACTGCTGAGTCCCTATAAAAATAGAAAATCACATTATTTTTTGACTACTGTTACCTGCAAACCCCACAGGGAAGTAGGGGAATATGAAATAATGTGATACTAGCTGTCTATATAGCGGTAGAAACCTGTATTTACACACAGATGATATGCAAGTGCTTTTGATGTGAAGCTCTGAATATGCATATGCATGCATTAACTATTCAAACCACACAACACTTCCATGAAACACGAAGCCTTTTTCATGCCCATTTCATAGCCTCATAAACCCTTTGGCCATATGCTGAGAAACAGGCTGAGAAAGCTTGAAGTACAAATCCTAGTCCCTTCAAAAAGAGAGAAATCTGTATAAAAGATGTGTGTGCTGGTGAATCATCTCAAGTTTATGGTGTATCATATATGCTTCAACAGTGCACAACTGGTCATGGAGCATTCACCCTATAACCAACACCATACACGTCCAGGGATAAACACTTCAAGGAGCAGATTTGGCATTGTTCCCATGGAATTCCAGTCCCCACAGGAGCACAGGCTGGCAGCAGTTGTCCAGCCCAGCTGCCTAGCAATGGGCCCAGCCCGACACTGGTCAGCAGCTCTGTAACTCTTCACACAGGGAATTCTCATGGAAAGCCCATAGCATCTCAGGGCCATGCTTAGCACAGTCACAACACACAGAAGCTCCTTTTCAAAAAGAAAACAGAATATCTCAAAGCTCTGATTTCTCCCATGGCAGCAGCAAATGACTTTGTGTAAGTACAGTTGCACAGACTCAAGCTTTCACATAATAAGCCGGACTTATCTCACCAATGATCCAATCTAAATACCAAGATCTAAAACTGGGTAGGAAAAAACTCGATATCTTTTCTAGGATGAGACTGACCAACAACTGTGAAAGTATGCTGGCTGTTTTAATCAAATCAGCCCTCACAAAAAGTCCTCGATGGAACAGCTAAAACTGATGTCAACCAACATACTGGCTGAAAATGTAACCCATGAACTTCTAAGCATTTTAGCTCTCTGTGTCTGTAGAAACCTACACAATGAAACAATTAGAAACAAAAAAAAAGCGGGCAAATAAAAGACAGAACATGCACAAAACCAGA